CATTGCACAACATGGGTATACTTACAGACACAATACTCAAAAATTTTTAAAAATTCCATTGTGTATATGTACCACATTTTATTTATTCATTAATTTGTTGATGGACATTTAGGCTGATTCTGTAACTTGGCAACAGTGAATAGTGCAGCAATAAACATGGATGTGCAAGTATATCTGTGGTATGCTGACATAATCCTTCAGGTATATACCCAGAGTGGTATAGCTGGGTCAAATGGTAGTTTTTTTGAGGAACCTCCATATTGATTTATAGAATGGCTACACCAGTTTATTCCAAACAGCAGTAAATAAGGGTTCTTCTTGCCTCACGTATCTTTGCCAGCATTTGTTTTCTTGACAGTATCCATTCTGACTGGGGTGGGATGAAATCTCAAAGCCATTTTACTTTGCATTTCCTTGATGGCTAACTTTTTGGAACATTGTCCCAAATGTACATTGGTAATTTGTATTTCCTTCTTTGAGAACTGTCTATTCAGCTTACTGGCTTATTTATTGATCGGATGATTTGGGAGTTTTTATTACTGAGTTTTTGGAGTTCTTTATACATTCTATGTAATCCTGTCTTTGTGTAAATCTTTGTAAAGATTTTTTTCCCACCTTGTGGGTTCTCTTCACTCAGATGACAGCTTCTTTAGCTGCATAGTAGTTTTTTAACTTAATGGAATTCCATCTGTCAGTTCTTGGGGTTATTTCCTGTGCTATTTGAATCCTTTTCATAAAGTCCTTGCCTATGCTTTTATCGCCAAGTGGTATTTATGTGTATTTCCTGCATGCATGTAAGTGAATTCATGTTGTGTATTGCCAATGGAAGTCAGAAAAGGACTGTCGGATCCTCTGGAACTGGAGTTATGGACCATTGTTAGCTGCCACGTGGGTGCTGGGAATCAAACCTAGGTCCACTGTGCCTGAGCCATTTCTCCAGCTCCAGTAGTCAAGTGTTTTACTTACATTTTCCTCTAGCGGTTTGTTTTTAGTTAGGTCTTAAAGTCTGACTTTGATTTTTGTGCAGGATGAGAGATACTGACCTCATTCCACCCCTGTATATGTGCACATCTGGTTTTCCTGGCATCACTACAATCAAGATGGTGGGGACCATAGGATCCAGAGAAGGAATGTCTCACTCCAAATCATTCACATCTGTACATGCCCACACCTCATGTCTATAAACCATAAGTTTAGGCTATCAGTTTATGTCTTAACTTGTAAGTATTACAAGTTAGTGGAAGCCTAGGGTATTATTTGGCACCTATACATGTTTTAAGGCTCTTCATAACATCAGTGCCCTATAGCCAAAGACTAAGAATATGAACATACCCTGAGCTGAACAAATTGAGTTCACTGTTCTTTGCAGTGGGAAAGAAGACAGCATGGGCAACTGGGGCAACTGAGGGGAAAGTGTCAGAAAAGATGTGCCATGGGATTTGGGCTTGTGTGAGGGTTTGAGGGAAGTAAGATTTTGCTTTTCATTGAATACTATCCAGAAGTGGGGCTGATTTTATGATTTGTTATGCTGGCTTATGTAGGATAGACTAGACGGCCACTAAAGCTGTATTTTTATCTTTCAGTTTGGATGATGCTCCATCTGTGTTCATGGAGTGGGTTTTATAAAATTTGACCCATCCTGACCATAGAGCAAGCAGCCTTGTCTGAGGTTGACATACATTTTTGAAAGTGTTCGTTTAGCAGGGCACCAGGCCAGCTATGAGTGCAGCAATAGCAATAGTCAGGGGTTGCTATTATCTTTCTGAATAGGTATTACAAGATTACATATCAGAAGGTAGTGCTGGGTTGGGTACTATGTAGTAAGAGTGCTTGCTGTTCTTCCAGAGGGAGGACCAGAGTTCATTTCCAGCATCTATGTCAGGTGGTCTGGAACTCCAGCTCCAATTTTATACCATGTATTTTGATCCTATGCACCCCAACCTCATGTCCTTAAAAAAAATCAAATTATTTGTGTAAGGGCTAGTGAGATGGCTCAGCAGGTAAAGGCACTTGCTGCATGTGAGTTTGATCCCCAGGACCCACATGGTGAAGAGAACTAACTCCTTTAACCTCCACATACACACAGTGGTATGTATGGATGCAACCCTCCGCAAGAAGTAAATGCAATATATTTTTTTTAAGGTAAGAAACTGGGCTGGAGAGATGGCTAACCGGTTAAGAGCACTGACTGCTCTTGCAGAGGACCTGGTTAACAACTGTCGGTAACTCCAGTACAGGGGGATCTGTTGCCTTCTTCTGACCTCTGTAGGAATTGCACGACATGTGCACTCACACACATGCAGGCAATACACTCAGGCACATAAAAAAATAAAAATGAAACAAAATATGCTGGGCATGGTAGTCCACGCCTTTAATCCCAGCACTTAGGGAGGCAGAGGCAGGTAGATCTAGACGCCAGCCTGGTCTACATAGTGAGCTCCAAGCCAGCTGGGGTTACAGGGAGACGCTGTCTCAAAACGACCAATAAATAAATAAATATTTTTAAAATATTAAAAAAATTTTATGTATGTGTATTGCCTGCACGTAGGTAAGTGCATCTGTGTTGTGCAGTACTCGCGGAGGTCAGAAGAGGCTGTCGGATCCACTGGGACTAGAGTTACGGACAGTTGTTAGCTGCCATGTGGGTGCTGGGATTTGAACCAAGAGCTTCTGCAAGAACAGCCAGTGTTCTTAACCATTGAGCCATCTCTCCAGCCCCAAGATGTAACTTTTAGACTGTTGTTGCTTTATAATTCTGCTCATGCTGCCCTTCCCATTGTCATCTGTAGTTTTATAAAATATATCATGTATGTGTGTATGTATAATTTTGTCTTTGTGAGTCAGGGTTTCCACAGCTGGCTTGGGAGTTCACTATGTAGACCAAGCTGGCCTTGAACTCACAGAGATCTGCCTGCATCTGCCACCCAAGTGCTGGGATTAAAGGCATGTGCCACCATACCCAGCTATATTTATTATTTTATGCATATGAATTATTTACATGTGTAATAAAGCACACCTGTGTTGTACAATGCTCACGAAGGTCAGAAGAGGGCGTTGGATTCCCTAGAACTGGAGTTATGGATGGTTGTTAGCTGCCAATGAGGGTGCTGGGAGCCAAACGTGGGTTCTCTGGAAGAGTACTCAGTGCTCTTAACCGCTGAGCCATCTCTCCAGCCCGTCTTCTGTAGTTTTAAGCCTTAGCAAGATTTTCTATAGTCCACATCAATTATCTGCCTACATTTTCATTTTGTGCTTAAAGAGCAAGTACATTTTTCACTCCTAAAACATCCAAGAACTTAGAAGCACAGAGCAAACTTATTTTCTTATATTATTGTGACATGTTTTTTGAGAGTGGGTCTCCCAGCAGCCCCATCTGGCCTTGAACTCAGAGATCTGCTTGCCTATGCCTCCTAAGTGTTGGGATTAAAGGCGCCACTATGCTGGGGCTTATGGCATTCATCGTAATAAAGTCATTCCTTCTCCAACTGGTTTTTGGTGCTTCATTTTCTGCTTCTAGTGGACCACAGCACATTGAATGCTCATGGATCAAAGACAGTATTTTCTGGTCTTTTCATTTGGCTTCCACCTTTACCTTACTTCCCCTATCAGTTCTTAAGTGTGGGGGCTAGAGGCTAGACGTAGCTCAGTGGTTAAAGGCACCAGCTGCTCTTGCAAAGGACTCAGGTTCAGTTCCCAGCACCTACATGGCAAATAGCAATTGCTAACTCCAGTCCCAGGGGAATCCAACACCCTCTTCTGGCCTCCATGGCCATTGCATGACATGGATGCAATTACATACATGTAGGAAGTACACTCATGCACAGGGTCTTGTTATGTAGCCAGTCAGCCTGGAACTCACTACGGTAGACCAGGCTGGCTTTGAACTCAAGAGAGATCCACCCGTCTCTGCTGGGATTAAAGGCACACACCACCACATTCAGCCCAGTTCTCATTTCATTTTAAAGTTCTGGACTCCTAGCTTTTTTGAAGGCCACAGCCTTTTGCTCAAGCCAGATGTTATCCACTCTACTACAGTTGTCTTGACCCAGATGGTTCTTCTCTCCTTAACTGCAATCCCTATCCAGCTTTAGGACCCAGCCCAAGGCCACTGACCAGGGGCAGGGGGAAGAACTTCTATTGGCTCTCCAAGCTGTGTACCTAGAGACACTTTTCTACATTGCATCTGTCACAGAGGCAACTGCTTCCTCCCAAACGAGGATGCTCCTCTCAGTTGCCAGAACAAGGTCTGGTCCAGGAGAGTGCATGCTGAATGGAGAAAAATGGCTGCCAGTCACTTTACAAGGGCCACGGGCTAAGGCCATCTCCTTTTTTTCCTACACCTATTATGAGATGCCTCAGTGAATGAGAAAAACCACACAAAACAAGCACTACTTGGTATTGTTTTCCTAACTAAACTTTTATTAAATTATTTTTGTTGTTGTTGAAGGCTGGAACCATCAAAGTCTGATCGGCTTTAAGTGTTGGAGTAAAAACCACAAAAGACTACTAGGCGAGCTGTGAAAAGAGTGGCAGACAGATGACAAGAGGGACAGACAAAACAAAAACAAAAAGGATGGTCTTTCTAGAGAGCTCGTGAAACCTTTTAGTAAGACCTAAAACATTAATATAGGAAATTAAACTTAAGACTACCATAAATGTTGACTGAATGCTAACACTTGGGTGGTTTGAGTGAACTCTCAAAGTTCTATACAATCTACTGCAATGTGTTGCCACTAAAAAAGTCACAGCTCCCAAGTGCAGATCACATTTTAAATAACAAATGTCCCCTGAATTCCTGGTGGCCACCAATCTCTCTGATGGGGAAACTGACTTTGAAGGAAGAAGTTGTACCAGAAGTGGAGGTGGGTGGGTGAGCGGGTAGGGCAGGGATGGTTTTCTGGAGAGTTCATTTGTAGCTTTTCTCCAGATGTCTAGTATGTATGTTAAGAGTTTTTTTTTTTTTTTTTAGTTTGAAAAAAACTCCATTGTGAAAAGTGAGTTATGAAGAATGCTCTTTATTTGAAACCTCCACAACACAGACGCCAATCTTGTCTCGCATTGAATCATTAGCTGTGCACATCAACACATTCCAAGCACAAATTAAGAAATGCAAACAGAACAAAAAAAAATATATATATATATATAATTTTTCCCCTATCCAAAGGTTTCAAGTCTCAATGCAGCAAATCCTTCTGAACACAGAATCTGAGGAGCACACTGTTCAAACAGTTGGGACAAACAGGTCCCTGCAAAGGCTACTGCCTTTTAACACATGGGGTGGGGATCATGGATGGCATGGAAAAGGCAGAGGTGAGGAAGGGGGAGAGGAAGAAAGACAATGAACAAAAGGGGACAGGTATGCTCTAGGGGGAGATGAGCAGCTGGAACACACACATGGTGAGTTGGTGGATTTCATTTATTGGTTTTTGACATTTTCTTTCTGGATCTTTTTAAATCCCCCCCTCCCCAGGTCCAACAATGGTAGAAAAACCCCACAGAAGTGGGCAGGGCCTTTTTAGGCCAGCCCAAAGCCTTCAGAGCACTCCTGGATGGCCAACAGTAGCATGTGGCGGAGCTTCTCAAAGCTCTCATAGGCAGGCAGGTCCAGTTGATTAAAACTAGAAAAAGGAAGAAAGATTAGTCCATGAAAAGAAGCAAATGAATGTGTGTTCCTGTGCTATTAGTTGTTCCTCTCTGAGCAAGTCTACCCTCTTGCTTCTTGTTGACTCCATTTGTCTTTTGTTCAGCCCGATCTAATGTAATCTGGCTCCAATACTGGCCACTGGAAACATAAATCTGACTTTGCTACCAATGTACCTTACCTACAGGATGAAGTATAATGTGTTAATGACAGGTAGTTAAAGGACACATGTGGTGAGCTGGTGGATTTCATTTGTTTTTGACATTCTTTTTTTCTCCCCCTTTAAAAGATTTTTAAATTATGCATGTCCATGTTACAGGCTGCTGGGAATCAAACTCAGGTCCCCTGGACAAGTAGGATGCACTCTTAACCACTGAGCCATCTCTCCAGACAGCCCCCTCTTTTGTCTTTTTTTTTTTAATTAAAGATAGGGTCTCATGTATCCAGGCTGGCCTTAAACTCATTATTGCGAGGATGATTTCAACTTCTGATCCCCCTGCTTTTTCTACCTCCTAGGTCTCCCAGGACTATAGGCATGTACCATCATACCTGGTTTATGTAGTGTTGGGGATGGAACTTATAGCCAACCACTCTACCAACTGAACCACATCTCTAGCCCTAACATTTTTAAGACAAATGCCTGTAAGGGAGCATTCAAGGCCACTGTGACCTGACTCTCTGCTGAGCGTTTTATCCTTCTGCTCCCTGCCATTTAAAATATTATTTATCTTATTTTTTTGATACAGGGCCTCCTTCCCTGTATCCCAAAGGACCTGGTCTGAAACTCCCTATGTACAAGAGGCTGAGATTAGAGGTGTGTGCTGCCATATCTGGCTCAATGGTTAAGAGCACTGGCTGCTTTTGCACAGGACCCAGGCTCGGTTCCCAGCACCAATAAGGTGGCTGACAACTGTCCATAACTCCAGTTCCAGGGGCTCCAATGCCCTCCTCCACTGATGTCCGCAGGCATTTCACAACATGGATGCTTTTATATACTTGCAGGAAATACACTCATACATATAAAATAAAAATAATAAATATTAAAAAGTCCAGAAATAGGCATTGGATCCCTCGGAGTGAGAATTACGATGTAGTTGTGAGCTACCTGATGTGGGTGCCAGAACTGAATAAGGTCCTTTGAATAAGCAATTTCTCCAGCTCCCTCCCAATCATTTCTACTTGTTCTAGCCACGCTGAGCTTTGGAATACACCATGACTTCTTGTAATGCTGTGCACTTGCCAAGGTCTCCCCAGTCGCCACTCTGTGTTTAGTTCATTTGCTCACCTCAACATTACCTCCTCCATAGACCCACTAAACTGAGAACTATCTAAGGTCATATCAGGCCATATTTGTGTTCCCAGCCTTGGGTAGGTGCCTCACAATTTTACAAGCTCAATATAAACATTGAAAAAACAAACAAAAACCCCTCTTTTTCTTACCACGTGTGAGCTGAAGGCAGGCGATCTGTGGATCTGTCATCTCGATGAATCTGAAACTTCTGGATGCCATTCATACCTTCTAGGGCAGCAAACCCTTGCAGGGGCACCTTGGAAGTACCCGTGACAAACTGGAGGAATTTGGCACGGTCAGCTTGGTCAAAAGAACGCAATGCTCTCCAGAACCACTGGATCTGTAAAGAGATACACAAAAAGCCAGTGTTAGGAAGAGAGCTCATAGAGAGTAGGAAATAGCAACAGACTTGGAGTACTAGGCAAATCTCTTTTGTGGGATGGGCTTCAGTTCTTTCATTCAAAAGATGAGTGAGGATGTCAGCTGAAAATATGCTCCAAAGAGTTAGGCATAGCTATACTGTCATCCATAAACCAGCTTAGTATAAAAAGAAACATATGGGGAGATACACTAGCAGTCACTCACCTGGATGGAATTGGATTGGTACTTGTGGTACTCAGTGTTAGATTTCAGATCATCAATGTCAATGGTGGGCAGCCCTGATATGAGCAGCTCTAATTCCTGCTCAGTAAAGATGGAAATGAGGCGCTTTGGAATGATCTCATAGAAGCCTTCCAAGAAAGCTGCCAGCTGTTTGCGGATAGCTCCTGAATAGAGAATGAAAAAAATAATGACATGGATTCAGAATTCACACAAATACTAGAGGCAACAGACCCTCAATTTGGCATCTGATGCTGACAGACCTGCCTGCCTCAACTACCACTGCTTCCATGCCCCTATATTGACAGTAGATGAAGTGGTCAGGTGTTCTGACTCCTTTTATGCAAAGCATTTGTGGCTTTATCATAGGGAATAAAAAAAATTAAATTAAAAAATGATGGCTGACCCCCTTCCATATTGAGCAAGCAGATACTTTTCCTACCTGTCATTCTCATCTGGCATACCAGGTGTACGTATTCTTTCTTATTCTCCTCTGTCACCAAGATGTTGGCCCCATTAGGTTTGAGGTCACGAACTTCACACACTCCAAATTCTTGAACCTAAAACATCCAAAATACTGATTGTATCTATCAGGCTTGGTCTGGGATACAACTAACACAGAGATGTGGGAGCATGCCCTAAACTCCTTGTCATGTTCTGGGCAGGGATGTGAGGTAAATCCATAAACAGTGACACAGTAACTTTCTTCACTATTCATTAGCTCACTGTTCCTCTGGATAGGGAAAAGCTGAAGGATGGAAAGAAGGAAATTAGTCTTTTATTCTAAAATAAGGGAAGGGCACCTCTATTTGTACCAATTTTCTATAGAAATAGAGACAAGGTTTCTCACTGAACCTGAAGCTGATTTGTCTAGGCTGGCCAGCCGCTAGTGAACTCCAGGAATCTGTCTGTCTTTGTGGTGTCTGTGTCCCTGTCCTCCTGCAGCCCCACCCCCTCACTTACTGGGGTTATAGATGCATGCTGGGCCAGCCCCTACTGTAATTTTTCTTAAACTTTTTTAAAAAACATTCATTGTGTCTGTGTGTGTGCATGTACACATGTGGAAGCCAGAACACAACTTGCATGAGTTAGTTCTCACCTTCCACAATGTGGGTTCTGGGGATTAAACTCAAGTCATCAGGCTTGGTGGCAACTTCCCTTACCTGTTGAGCCACATTGCTAGCCCTGGGACTTAAAACTTTTTCCAGGGGCTGGAGAGATGACTCAGTGGTTAGGAGCATTTGCTACTCTTCCAGAAGACCAGAGTTTGGTTCCTAGCACCCATGTTGGTTACAAATGCCTGTTAACTCTAGCTTGAGGTGATCTGATGCTTTCTTCTGGCCTCTGTGGGTACCATACCCACACATCACCCACACCCACACAATCTTTATAAAATTTTTATTTCATGTGTGAGTGGTATATGTACATGTGGTGTGTGCAGGTGCATGTTGTGAAGAGGCCAGAGGAAGACACTGAGTATCCTGGACCATCATTCTCTACCTTATTTCTCTGAGAAAGAGCCTCTAACTGAACCTGGCAGCCGGCAGGCCCCAGTGACTCTCTTGTAGCCATACCTGGTGTTTTACATGGGTGTGTGTGGGATCTTAACTTAGGCCCTCATGCTTGCATACCAAATGCTCTTACCCAATGAGCCACGTCTGGTCTTTTTGAGACAGGGTCTCCCTGTAGCCCCAGCTGTCCTGGAACTCACTATGTAGACCAGGCTGGCCTTGAACTCACAGAGATCCTCCTGCCTCTGCTGGGATTAAAGGCGTGAGCCACCATGCCCGGTTTAAAACATTTTTTTTACTTATTATTTTTATTTTATGTGTATGAGTGTATGCATGCAAACCTGCAGGTATGTAAGTGTACCCATGTTATATATACAAGGGCATTGGATCCCCTAGAACTGGAGTTACAGATGGCTGTTAGCCACCAAGTGGGTATTGGCAACAAAACCGGGGTCCTCTGTAAGAGCAGCTAGTGTTCTTAACTATCGAGTCATCTCTCCAGCCCCAGGGTTCTGCAACATTTTTAAAAGGAAAACTAGGAAACAACTTGGATTAGTTTATCAATTCTATTCTGTTCATGATGTCTCTTCTCATACAAGCACCCACTGCTCTGTTTGCAAAGTAATTCCTCAGAACTGACAGATTTCAGTGCCAGTTTCAAGGTGAACCCCCAAATATGTCTCCCAATTTACCTCAGTGCTGAAGGTGAGATCATAGCCCAGAGTGGAGACATCATTTTCCAGCAGATAAACTAGGCCTTGGTAGAAGTGGTAATCTTCACTCTCCATATCTGTGTATCTAGAAAACAAAATTTGATAGGGTCAAGATTTGGTGGAGAAAAAGACAGCACAGGGAGATAAGGTTCTGACTCCTACTGCTAAAGATAGTTTAAAGACTATACCATATTCTCACCTGACAGACTTGCCCAAGATGTGTTTGTAGAAGGATCGAGTAAAGTAGCACTCCAGGAGGCGGTTGTCATATACAGCTTTGGCAACAATGCGTCCAACAAACTTGAAGTAGCTGAGGTGGTTGGGGTTACAGTGGGAAGATGGATTGATGGTGTAGGTGACTCGGTCACCAGGTGAGGTACGGAACAAGGCATACATAGGATTAAACATCTCTCGAGAGATGATCATATACCACTCACGCAGGAGCCCTCCAGCATCCTGCCCTTCTTCTCCTTCAAACACTATATACCTGCATAAGAAACGAGAAATAAGAGAACTGTGCAGAAAGCTCAGGACAGACCTGACTATTCACATGGCATCATGTAAGCAAGATGTCTGTTAAGCTGACTTTGAGAAGTACAGTGTCAGATGAAGACGTGAGAAGAGTATTAGGAGAGCTCTGGAAAAATACCTTTGTGTGTGTGTGATTACTGGGATGGTGGACCCAGGCCATGAGCAAAGGGGAGGAATTATTCTAATAGGTCTGTTTCATCAGCTACTCTGATACTTGGTGTTGCAAACTGTCGATCTCCTCTAGGTGGCTTTATAATCTACCAGTGAATAGTCACCCACTTTGTGGGGGCTCATGCACATGGTTTTCCCCAACTCAGGGTACCAATTTCTTAAAGCTCTCAATCTGAAGACTTCTGGTATATCTGTATAAACATTAAAGACTTCCCTGTCTTGGATGTGTTGGGTAACTCAGTCAAAGTGTCAGCCTGCAGGCTAGGTCCCCAAGTGGGAAGAAAACTCAATTAGATGATCTAAGCTAGATTGCTTTAGGGTGTTTTGTAAGTGAAGGCCAGATTAAGTCATTGCTATCAGGTAGAAAAGTCTCCTGTCCTATCCCATCTTGACTGCTTCTGTTCTAGGCTCTTACAATCGATTCTTCATTTCTTCAGGAGATTTGCGATGCAGCTCACGATAGGAATCTTCAAACACATGGTCACGGCGGACATGCACGGCCATGTCTTCCTTCCGGAGACCTTCATCCAACCGTTCTAATTCTTGGCGGAAATATCTTGGGATGTAGAAAAAGAAGGAAAGTAAGTTGGGGGTGGCAGACCAAACTTCTATTTGTCTTGGGGTGAAGACTCATCATGACACTCTATCCCCCATTTTGATCTCTGTCCCGTACCCATTTGGACTGAAATGCCTAGCAGCTGGGAGATCATTTATTAACAACTAAATTTTTCCCCGACCTCTGCTGTTAAAATAAGGACTCACAGAGAATACGACATTGGATTTCTGCAACAAGTCAAGGCATGTGCACAGGAAGGAGGGGAGCAGAGATGACAAGGAAGTCTTTTTGTTAATTTTTAGGAAATTGAAAACATTAGGACTGGAAATGGCTCAGTAGTTAAGAGCACTGGGACACCCTCTTCTGACTTCTGAGGGCTTTGTATGACATGGGTGCACTTACATACATGCAGATAATACACTTATCCACATAAATAATGACTGGGGAGATGGCTCAGTGGATAAAAGCACTGGCTGCTCTTGCAGAGGATCCAGGTTTGATTTCCAGCACCCATATGGTCCAGTTCCAAGGGATACAATGCCGTCTCCTGACCTCCACAGGCATTGCATGAAATGGGTGCACTTAGACACACTCAGGCAATACACTTAAGCACATAAAATGAAAAATAATGAAATAAAAACCTAAAAAACCTATTTTTAGCCATTTGTATTTTATATGTATGAGTGCAATGCCTGAGGAGGCCAGAAGGCGGTGTCGGATCCCCTGGAACTGGAGTTATAGACAGCTGTTAGCTGCCATGTGGTGCTGGGAATAGAATGAATACAGGTCCTCTGCTAGAGTAGCCAGTGCATTTAACCACTGAGAATCTAGCCAGGGTCTTACTATGTAGCCCTGACTTGTCTTGAACTCAGAGATCCACCTGCCTCTGCCTCTGCCCCGAGAGCTGGGATTAAAGGTGTGCACCACCACAGCCATCCCTAATTTAAAAAAAATATTTTATTATTTTAATTTTATGTGTATGAGTGTACTGCATACATACAAGTGTACCCGTGTTGTGCAATGCTGGCGGAGTTCAGAAGAGGGTGCCAGATGCTTTGGAACTGGAGTTACAGATGGTTGTTAGTTGCCTTGTGGGTGCTGGGAATTGAACCCGGGTCCTCTACAAAAGCAACCAGTGCTCTTAACTGCTGACCAGCCCTCTAAATATTTCTTTTAAAGACAAAGATTTCACTAGGTTGGTCATGAATTCAAGAGATCTTTGCCACGCACCTCCCAAGTGCAACAAGGAAGTTCTGAGCCTGGTTTTGAGTGTACCATCAGTATGGCTAAAGGATGGAATGGAACTTCAGATATCATTATGGTTGAAAAATCGTGTGGCCCTCAATTAGGTGATGAAGAATGGAAGTGGAGGTGGGGAAGACCAAAGAGTTATTTAATTAAGGACAGTGACTATCAATTTATACCAAGAAGCCCCTTCTGCCACTAGGACCAATTCTGGTTCTTTTCTGGGAGGAGATAGCATTCAGGGAGTTCCTATATCCCACTTCCCCAAAAGCAGGGCACATACTTGCGTTTGACATCAAAGTCGAGGATACGAATGTAATCCACCAGGACAGCAAAAGGTCCATCAGCAAGGTGAGTGGTGGACTGACGTAGTATCTGGTTTAACACAGTGCGGTGAGTCTCTGAGGGGAGAAATGATAGCAGAAATCAGCACATTACTGGTCCTAAAATACAGCCTGCTAGCTACCAACTCTCTCTTACAGTTTTAGGCACCTAAAACAGGAACTAGCTAAAGGCAGGGTGCTGTCCTGAGGTATGAATGTGAACCTGGGCCTTTCTACTACCTAGGCCTGGTTTCCCATGGCCTCAGGATATAGGTCACATCCCTTTGAGGGGCAGCATGCAAGGGTTTCAGCAGCAGGTATCTACTGACACCTTACTAAGTCTATTTTTGCAAAACATTTCTATATGCATATGCTTGCACTCTAACTCTTTCTCATTCTACTGAATCAGCTAGGGGTAAAATGAAGCTTTCTACATCAGGGAGTCTAGGAGTTCTCTGTACCTGCAAAGCGAAGGAACTTCTGTGTGTCAGGGGGCAGGCTTGAGGAGATGTGCATAGATGAGGGCTCTCTAGAGAAGAATGGGTCAAGGGAAGAAGGAGTGGCTGGGGTTAAGGGGGCAGGGGAAAGTGGGGGAGGTTCATCTTTGATGTGTGCCAGCTGGCTCTCACGGGTGTCTCGGACAGGAGGCTTGCTCTCCCGTTCTGTGGCATGGACCAAAAAGAAGGCCTCAACAGCAGGCTGTAGTACTAGGGAATAACAATGACAACAAAGTGACACTTTAGAAATTTTTATAAACACCTCTATCCTTTCATAATCAAGTCATAAAAATACAACATGGAATAAGAAATAATGACAGCTTGCAGGGAAATACAATGGTAGATAAAGTCAAAAAGGAAGTTGAAACTTCCTGAAAGCCAGAAAAGTGGGATAGGCAACCAATTATAAAGCCATTATTAGTCTAAGAAGTAAAATGCACCAGAGTTACTAGGAGAGAAGGCAACTCTTTTGAATTTACAGAAGGAGAGAACAAACTTGGACTAAAAAACATCATCACCACAACCACCATCATCACCATCTGGTAGAAAGGGTCCCAGAGAAGATAAAAAGGTTGGGATTTGTGCCTTCAGAGCACAACTCACCTAGCACTGCATGTTGGTCATGAGATTCCTCCAGTTCCTTTAAACATTCTCCCAGCATGTCCCACAGTTCATCTAGGCTTAGCTGCTCACTGAGCAGAGGTAACTCTGGTGGCCTCTCCTCTTTCTCTTTCTCCCCCTGTGATGTTCCATCTGAGGCTACTGGATACAAAGAAGATACTCAGAAAGCTTTCAAGCTGCCTGTCTAACTTAAGAATTTTTTCCTCAGTGGGTACTAGACCCAGTATTACTCACCGAGCCCCATCTAGAAGTAAGATCTAGTACTGTACTGGATGGCATTTTATTAACAAAATTTGGCTTCATTTTTAAGTGCCCAAAAGCCACATATTGTCTAGTTTAGTCATTGCTTAACTAACTCCAAAGGAATCTGTGGTTTAAGTTACTTAAGGGCAATGTAGCAATGATGGAACTTTGGTTGGTTATCTCCCAATTTAAGGCATAAGTTAGAACATTATGCTGATTTAATTCTGACAGTTGCCCTTAGAATCAGGCTGTCTTACTAGTCTCATGCTTTTTGAAGTAGTCAACTTGCCTTGGCATAGTTTAAAGCTCCAAGAAACCATGGTGCAAGACAGATGCCCATGGTTGATATTTTCCCTGGTACCCCTTTTGGAGTTTATTCCAAACTGCTTAGTAGCCAAGTAGCATTTTCTAGGTAAGAGAGAAGCAACTGTTTCCTCATTAACCCTTTACCCTTCTCTTTCTATACACTGGACCACAAAGACCCCTGGCCTTGCTCAAACTTCTGGCTTTCCCTTTCATCCTCTACCCAAATCCTGGCTATTCTTTAAGATTCTGACAACCCTAGGTTTGAATCCTAGCTGTGGCACTTGCAGATCAGGTGACCTTGGGTAAAAGAAGATGGAGAGAATGTGGGAATGACATCTATCTCGAAAAGTCTAGATGATTCAATATAGCATTACAAAAAAATGAGTGTCAGCTGGGCATGGTGGTGCATGCCTTTAATCAAAGCACTTGGGAGGCAGAGGCAGGTGGATCTTTGTGAGTTCAAGGCTAGCCTGGTCTACATAGTGAGTTCCAGGACAGTTGGGGATACAGAAAAACCGTCTCAAAAAGATCCCCCCCGCAAAAAAAAGTGTCCTATGAGAACACTATTCATTGGTAACGTGTTTAAAGGGTATCTAAAAGTACTCTGTGTACAATTGAGAAATGCCACCAATAACAGCATTTATTATGTACTACGTATTTTGCTAAATGCTAAGCATAAACACTTATTACATTATTTAATCCTAACAACTGTGAACATCCCTAATTTAAATTAATACAATTTACTTCCACTTTGGTTTTTTGAAACAGTTTCTCACTGGCCTAGAGCTCATTTATTAGGGTAGGCCAGCTGGTTAGCAAGCCAAAGTTCCAGGGATTTTCCCATTTCAGCTTTCCTAGCACCAGGATTACAAACGTGTGCTACCATGCCTGACGTTTTTACCTGGGTTCTGTGGATTGAACTCAGGTCAGGTCCTCATGCTTGCAGGGCAAGCACTTTACTGACTGAGCTGTCTCTCTAGCCTGAACAGTCCTGCTTTAAATGAAGAACGTGTTAGGTTCCAGAGCTAGTAAAGGGGGAGCAAAGGCGTGAAACACATGCCATATTCATGCACAATATCGTACACATTTTTTGGAGATAGTTTTACTATGTACCCTGGCTGGTCTGGAACTCACCATATAGACTAGGCTGGCTTTGAATTCACAGAGATCTGCCTGCTTCTTGCCTCTGGAGTGCTGAGATTAAAGGTGTACACCACCATATCCAGCTAGTTTTTTCTTTTATATTATTTTTTTTCATTTATTTAATTTTGTGTGTGCATGTATGAGTGTCCCGAGGCCACTCTCACTCTGTGTGTGTGTGTGTGTGTGTGTGTGTGTACATACATAATGAGGGAGTTTGTTTTTTCCTTCCACCATGAGAGTTTTGGGGATTGAACTTAGTCATCAGGTTTAGTGATCAAGTACTTTTACCTGCTGAACTATCTTGCCACCTGCCCTGTTTGTGAGATAGGGTCTCCCCGCTACGTGGCTGAGAACCTGCTGTATGACTAGGTTGGCCTTGAACTTGTGTCTATCTTGCCAATGCTTCATGAATTAAAAAAAAAAAACCCTGCTGCTTGAAACAATTGAGAGAGAGAGAGAGAGAGAAGAGAGAGAGAGAACACATGTGCACTGTGGAAGTCAGTTCTTTCCTTTGATCATGTAGGTTCTGGGGACTGAACTCAGGTCATCAGGCATGGTGACAAGTGCCAGCTTCTTACCCACTGAGACACCTTCTGGTTCCTAATATATTTTTGGAGACAGGTTTCCCTATTTCAAGTTCAAGCTGACTTCATAATTACAATCCTGTTTTAGCCCCCAAGTGCTGGGATTATAGGTATGTGTTACCACACCTAGTGTATTAAAAAAAATTATTTCAATTTACTTATTTTTCTATTATGTGCTTAAGTGTTTTGCCTGCATGTACACCAGTGCATGAAACCTGTGGAGGCCAGAAGAGGCAGATTCCCTGGAACTGGAGCTATGGATGGTTGTTAGCCAGTGTGTGGGTGTTGGTGACTGAACCCAGGTCATTTGCAAAGGGCAGCTGATGGTTTTTTTTCTTTTTTTGGTCTTTTTGAGACAGGGTCTCCCTGTAACCCCAGCTGGCCTGGAACTCACAGAGCCCCACCTGCCTCTGCTTCCCAAGTGCTGGGATTAAAGGCATGCACCACCACACCGGGCGCAGCTGGTGTTCTTAACCACTGAACTCCAGCTCCCTTCCCATCCCATGTTTCTTTTTCACAGAAATTTCAATATGCTTTGGTGTTAATATCTGTTAGCATATAGATTTTGGGAGCAGGGGATTCATTAGACCTTCTCTAACTTTCCCTTTTGCTGAGCTAGAAGCAAAGTAGTACTGACCAATGGACTGAGTATCTTGAGTATTGGGAGATGGCTGGTCCACATCCATGGGTGACTCCTCTCTCCGGACAGATGCCTCAGACTGGCTGGACTCCGACTGGATAAAAGGAGACAAGGTCACATAAAGGGTGCAAACTCTACTTTCTTCTGGGAGAGGCTAGAGATTGGCCCTTGCATATCTCACATATTGTAATTAGAAAGACACTTCTCCTATCTGCTTAGCAACATGTATAGCACTCCAGGACAAAAGAATGGCATGCCCACTTCCTTTTCCAAAGAGTTCCCAGGGAGACCAGACACACACCTCCTGGATACAGATTTCAAGTTTTCTGGAATAGGTGTATATGTAAACCTGTGGGTTATTTCTAACTGTTCAAATTGAGAAATTGGTCTATACTCAAAGTTATCTGTCCTACTGGGCGTGGTGGCGCATGCCTTTAATCCCAGCACTCAAGAGGCAGAGGTAGGCAGATCTCTGTGAGCTCGAGGCCAGCCTTGTTCACACAGCGAGTTCTAGGACAGCTGGGGCTACAGGGAGACCCTGTCTCAAAAAGACCAAAAACAGAAAAAAAAAAGTTATCTGTCTTACCAACTGGACAGGAAAGAGACCAGGCAGATAAAAAAATTACCTCAGAGCAACAGCTATTTTTGCTCTTTGTCTCTCTGGAGTCACTTTCCCCAAATTCTAGGCTATGTATGACACAACTAATGATACGCTGTGTATAACAGGAATTCTACATAAATTACCCAGCCTCAGAATACCTTTATTTCTTAAGATCTTGGGAAGGTGACTTGTATGTTGCAAGAACAAAAAGGTGACAACAGAGTGTCACAGCTTTTATTGTACCCACTCTATGCCAGGACCCCAATATTATAGTGGCTACTTAAATATCTGTAAGCTACTTCCTACATGGCCTGATTATCTACGTGTCAAGGGACTATGGAGAAGAGGCAGAGAGGCCAAGGTCAAGGGAGCAGTCATAGACAGAAGTGGCTGCATGGGATGTGTACCAAGTTTGGGCAACTTTTAAGTGTAGGACTCTTGAGATGTATTTGTATTGTTCCATGACAGTGAATTTTTTTTTAACCCCACATCCATCCAGAACCAACAAGACACTGAACATTAGGCAATTTGCAGAAGCACCACTACTGGCTGGATAGCTAAGAATGTGGTATGATGGCCAAGCTTTAAATCCAACCAAACTTCAATACAAACCAGTAAACCAATCAATAAACAGTAAGGAAAACACCAACAGAACATAGCCCTGTTGTCCAGAAGCATTCATTTAGCAAACTTAATGCAAAAGCATACAAGGTATGGGCAATGCAACCCCACTGATGACATGGCGAGGGAAGGAGGGTAGAGAAATGAATGAGGGGGCCACAGGCATCATGCTAACCGTTGCTGCTTGTTGCTGTCTCCGCGCCCTTTGACCCTCACGTACCATTTGTATAATGGCATCAGCCTCAGCCTCCAGCTGCCGAACAGCTGCCTGGATGCTGCTAGCTGAGCCTAAACCGGAGGAACCTGGGAGAAAGAGGGAAAAACAGGAAGGCACGATATAAAATGTAGGAAGAGGAAATGTCCAATAATCTCTCCTCTCTCCAGGGCTGCCACAGGACATCTTGCTGAATTTGAATTTTAGTTCAGCAAGATTTAATGTACTTTTAATCAAATCCTAAGATAAGGGCACAGTGCTAGGTAGATGATGGTGGCATATGAGAGGGTTCTGTGGGACAGGAGGAAAGAGGAAGGGAAAATGGCTTTGGAGGCCAATGTTTGAGTCAACATAGCTAGTGTTTTCATTAGGAGTACTCAAGGAGGCAGAAAGCACACACACAGAGTTGTCTTTCTCAGCAAAAAGCTGGTTTCTCCCAATTTCCTTGTGAGATTTCTATTTCCCCCGAATTCCTACTTATTCTATTCAATCTCTTCAATTTGAACATGGTA